TCGAAATTTTTCCGCTAGATTTAGCGGGGAAATTTTTCCGCTAAATCCAGTGGACAATTTTTTCCGCTAGATTTAGCGGGAAAACTTTTCCGCTAGATTTAGCGAGAAAATTTTTCCGCTAGGTTTAGCGGGGAAATTTTTCCGCTAGATTTAGCGGGGATATTCTTCCTCTAAATCTAGCGGGGAAATGTTTCCGCTAGATTTAACGGAGAAATTTTCCCGCTAGATTTAGCGGGGAAATTTTCCCGCTAGATTTAGCGGGAAAATATTTGCGCTAAACTTAACGGGGAAAATTTTCCGCTAAATTTAGTGGAGAAATGTTTCCGCTAGATTTAGCGGGGAAATTGTTCCGCTAAATTTCGCTGTTTTATGGACGCGGCTTTATGGCCAGTCGCTGTTTTACGGCCTCGTCCACAATTAAACGACGGCTAAACTTCACTGAGGATTGGGGCTAAACAGCACCCTATGCAGACTCCTTTCTTTTGTCTGAAGTTCTTCCCCTTATATTCTACCGGGGTGGATTGAAGGTAAATGGCTATTAATTGTACGAAACGTGCCGCTGACACACCGGATGAGTTCTGGAAATCAGAAATCCCAAGCTCGTAAATAACATGAGAAACGTAGTCTAGGAGTACTTTGAGGTCTAATATATAGTACATATCTTCTATGTCAAGCAAAAACATGGCAGTTGGCGTGGAAGAGGAATGTAGAGGACTGATGCGTGAAATCAATTCCATAGAGTTCGAACCCCTGAACGGTTGCTGAAGGCGAACTTCCGAAAGGTGCTTGTGCAAATAGAGGCCAACTGTTTTTTGGCAACAGCCCCTTTCGGAGGTGATGCTTCTAAACGGAATTCCATCTTAGTGAGTCTTTGCAGAAAAGAAAACGGATGAGTACTGATTTGCAGGACGACCGATAGCTTTCTTCAGGTTTGGGAGGTTGAGCCCTGCCGGCGCTGTAGCCGCTTCTGCTCCTCTCGGCGACGAGAATGCTTTCGCACCACGGTTGAGAGTTGAGCTTGTTGGTACATACTTGTAAATATATCAGCTTGAACTTTAGAAATAACTAGAACACAAGACAGAAAAGACAGGATATGACACACAGCTGTGGTCATATCTTGTCCTTTCTGTCTTCTGTTCTAGTTATTTCTAAAGTTCAAGCTGATATATTTACAAGTATGCTTTCGCACTCACAACTCATAAGAGATGCTTAGGTGTCCTCGAAGTATCCGGGCAAAGTAACGTGAAACCAGAGTAACTTGTAAGCTGCAACTTACTCAGTAACTTAAGTTGTAACGTCGCCAGTAAAGTAATCAGCTACATTTGTAAGGAAAAATTAGTAATGTTAACAGATTAGATTTCAAATCGAGTAATTTGTAATATCAATCTATATAATTATTCATGTAATGTACACAAGGTGGGTGACTCTGTACTATTTGATTGGATTTTGAAATATTTTGAAGCGATGTTCGTACACCCCTGCACTCGGTTTCACCTTACGATGGACCGCAGCGGACGCTACGGGTCACGGCAGCTAAGCCAGCTCCGTGAATCTATCACGTGCTTACGCGCCCCGCGCGTCACTGCTTGCCTCCTGAAGATCGGCTGGCACTCGCATGGCCATAGATTGGTTTCGGCTTACGACCAACTGCAGCGTCTGCTGCGGTTTATTATAAGGCAAGATAAAGCATAGTATTTTTTTCAGCCTCACGTAACGCAATCACGTAAACGGAACTACTTGGAACTACTGTCACTTCTGCTTCTTTCTTGCTTCTGTTTGTACACTTATCGTCACGGGCATCGTGTAATACAAAGCAGACGCAGCGGAATGATTGGCGAGAGATACCAGTTTGCCGTAGCGGACACGGCGTACAGATGTGCATTACGCGTAACGCGGATGGGCATGCAGCAAGGCAACCCTACCACATGACGCCCAACGTGGGGCCATGTGGTAGAGTTTCCTCGCTGCATGCCCATCTCGACGACCGCGACCTGGAGCGTGCCATAGCGCTGATACAGTGTCGCCGGCCAGACCTTCTGCGACGACCCCCTCGCAGCGACGACCACGACGACACTGTCATTGAAATGCCTGACGCTTGGAAGGGGGGGGGGGGGGAGTGTGAGAGCGAGGGTCGGCCACCACCACCAGAGGCCGCTGCTGACCACCCAGAGTGGACAACGTCCAGGCTGCGCAACAGCGCACGAAGGACAGGCGCGAGAGGATATAAAAGAGGGGACACACCCACAGAAGGGGGAGACGGATCGAAGGCACGGAGACGCGTAGTTTGAATGCCCGGCATTGTTATACTTCGCTACTAACAACCTTTTTGCTGTTATGCTAATAAATGTAGTTTCTTGTTTTGGAAACCCCGGCTTCGTGTTGTTCCTCCCGGAGGGGCATGCAGCAAGGCAACCCTACAACTCTTACTTGGGTTGAATGGCTCCTCAAAGCGAAATTCCAGAACAGGGAGGTTCGTTTTAGATCTCTTTGACGTGACGTTCAGTAGCTCGCTCTGGCTGGAAAGGTTCACACATATTGATCGCACAATTTCTTTCTGCGAAGACATGCAGTGAGCATAACGTAACAGTATCATAGATTCTTTGCTGTCAACTGATCTTTACTCCGATGTTATACACTTTGGAATGGGTATTTTTAATGATTAAATGAACACATACCCGCCATAAATATTTTGATTTCTTAATAACGTCATTACTCATGATCGACGTCCGGAAGCGAGTGTAAGGTCGTAATTAACGAATTAGCTATCCTATATTCCGGACTTTTTAAATTTTACGCAGTGTGGACTATCTACAGATGCGGCTTATACAAGAAGTGTTTTTTTCTAGGTCGTTAGTTGTAACGACGTGATGGATTCTGTGAATGACAGTGTATTTTAATAATGATTAATGTATGAGACAAACATATTTGTGAGCTAAAAGGTAGGGCTTTCGACAAGATGTGCTGTGTATGAGGATGTTTATATGTGCCGACTAGGCACGAAATGCAAATTATGCCCCGTGTGCACATTGTGCACTAGATGCGCAAGCTACATAAAAAAGCTTTATTTTCTAAATTAAAAGTTGCTTATGCAGACTATACTCGGATTCGCACAATAATACAGGGATTTGAATTCTCTCATTAATATTTGGCTTTGTTTTAGATGGCATATATTAACTTGCAGCCTATAGTCCACTTGGCTAGAGGAATTGTTTATTTTCTAAAAACAAACATTCTCCTTCATAATATTCCGTAGAGACACTCGGCCGTGAAAACAGTGCAATACCAACCCCCCCTCTCCCCCCCCCCCTCCCCACAAAAAAAAGAGCAAGCAGGGAGTTTTGCCTCTAAAGAAGCATCAAAATATGACACACAGTGACCAAATTTGTGTCCTCAGAATAATGCAGTGGGGCTTACCTTACATTATCACTGTCCTTGTAATACAAGAGCATCAATGCGCTTTTTGAGTCTTCTTCAACGCTAATGATCTCCATTTCCATGCACGAAGTGTGAAACCCAATTAGCGGAGGTGGCGTGTCGGATGTTCGCTTTTCCAGAAACAATATTTTCTCATAGAGAGATGCCAAAATCTAGTGGTTAAATAAATATTCATTATGCAGCTTATATTCTTCGAGAACTTCATATGTTGGAAACACTTTCAGGCTGTTATTTATGTTCAGGCAACGAAAGGAGTGTCGATTTGCTACCGTGCGGATCCGCCCTGGCATTTCCATCCGAAGTGCCTGGTTTCAATTCTAATGTGTTTTTAGCATTTATTAACGGCATAGGTTAGTGATATTTGAATTGAAAATATTCATATGCCCGCCCTATTGAAAAACAAACAAACAAACAAACGCACCCATACGACCCATAGCTTATCCTATTATACAACCCGAAGGGTGCATAGAAAAACAAAAACGATTAATTAACTGGATATTTTGCTGGTCTTTTTCAAGCGCTCCCATCTTCTGAATCAGATCTGGGAGATCCAGGAGCGTCTCCAAAAGCGAGCCAGAAAACTGGCGCGGCAACCGAATGCTCGGCAACTTTTAAAAGAGGCCCAAGTGCCGACACGGAAACAGATACCAAGGGCACCTTTCGCAACCGCTCCATTGCCAGGGCGCAAACTTCCAAGAGTTTAGCCAATGCCATTTATTCATCCAGCGCCGCCTCGCATGTCCGCATGCCCGAACGATAAGTTGCAGTCTTTTATGCGGACGCTGGGCTTTGCTGTGCTCTCCCGTCCACCGGCGAGCGTTTCCTGTACGTACTGCACAGCACAGCGGGATCGGTTCGGTAGCCAAACGCGGCGGCGTCCGACGCTAAGCCCTGTTTTATCTGCTTCTTTCTCTCTCCACTCAACAGCGAAAGTGGCTGGAGTCTCGTGACCGGTCCTCTGGCGCGCGATCCGACCGCTCCCACTTCGAAGTCAAAGAGCCCCACTGCGCTACGAGCCAGAGGACGGCGCGATCCGAGCACCTGAGAGCACTCTGAAAGATCCTCCCGAATAGACTTAGAGCGCCCGACTTCGACCATTTGAATGGGCATCGGCTTGTCAGCGCTCTAAGAGGCTGGAACTTGACCAGCCGAATACACCACGAGTCGTTTTATCCGCAGAATTTTATAATTTCAAGTGGTTCAGGAAGGCCTCCCTTACCTCATACTCATGTTATGGACCTAGCACACACAAAGTACGCTCCCCCATGTGCACCACGCCTACCAAATTACATATCGCTAACTGGAAGAACTTATTAAAAACAAGTGCAGGGAAACAATGCCATTTATGTTATCTCACAAGGAAAGCAATCTAGAGAACCATAGCAAAACATAAAATTGACCTGTGCAATCTTCACCTTAAAAAAGAAAAAAAAAATCAACACAATATTTTATGTAGCTTTTTCCGATGGTATTATGAGTGTATGCCTGAAAAACACGAATGGCGCTTTTAGACACAAATGGTCATATGAGTCTACTATAGCTCTTGTTTGAGTGAACACAATTGATTACCATGCTTTATTTGGATCTTTGTAGTCCATTGTCAATAGTGCGCTTTTTGTGTCATATTTTGCTTCGAGGAACTCCATTTTTGCGCATGTTGCGGGAAACCCGAGTAAATAAAGATCGGACGTGGAAGATTTGTATCTGAGATAGATGTCATTGTTTTTAGATTCAGAGAACAGCTAATATTGGAAACGCAAAAAAAAAAAAAGAAATTGGAAGTATTTAATGTACACTTATTTGATTATATTTATGAGTACCTAAGTTACGCCTTTTTGTATTCAACACATTTATGTCCTTTTTATTTCGTTTGAGTTAGGATTAACATAATTAAAACATATGAGCTCATTGTGATCGTAAATCATAAATAATGCTCTGCTTAGCGTTTAACGTTAAATATTTGCCATCCAAGATAGCTCTATATATATATATGAAAAACTGAGGCGACAATTAGCAAGCATCTAATGACTTAAAAGGTCTAAGTTTCTCGCAGTAGTCTCGGGTAACTCATCGAGATGTTACAAGAAATGTAATTTACGTTATATCTGATAACCTTACAGCTGTTGTGGCGAAGCGTATGAGTATACAACTAAATGTCTTGTATGCCCCTGAAAGAAAAATAAATTAGTAATTTACATTTAAGAAGCATGGAAGCCATTTACCTATTTACCCGACTGGAAAACAAACGTTTTCACATATGTCATACTTCTTAGTCACCCGTGTCACATGGTAGAAAGACTCACGTCATTCGCTTGACTGGGAGTGCTAGCGCGACTGGGAGTCGTTGGACTGCTGGGAGTCGTTGGACTGCTGGGAGTCGTTGGACTGCTGGGAGGTGTAGAACCACTAGGAGTGATAGGATTTTCAGGTATCCTTGTGGGAACATCGGCCTTCAAGAGAATGAGTATCACATTTTGTGCATAAAAATGCTTTTTAAGAGAGTCGTCGGCCTTACAATTTCGACCTCTTTTTCGAAAAATACGGCCGTCCATTCGAGATATCGCCTTACGAGTAGTGTTGTAGGAATTGTAGCGTTCCACCTACATCTCCTACATTGTTTCTTTTTAAAATCCAAATTTCAGTTCACCATTTCTTTAACGTCCGACTTACAGGCTTGTTATGCGATCGCGGCTTCCTGGCCTACCCAGCATTTCTTGCTTCAGACACTAGGCTCACGTTTGAGCAATGCAGCCGCCTCTCCCTGGCATACCCAATGTTTCTTGCTTCAGTCGCTAGATTGCGCCATACAAAACAACATTGCAGGTTGCCTATAGCCTGAATACTCCTGTTGAAACTCTCTACCAGGCCATTCGTCTGAGGATGGTTGAGAAAAGTAGCCGCATGCTCAATCCCGCATTTTCGTAGAGAAGATCTAAAAGTACAGGACATAAATGGCGTTACTCTGTCAAAATAATTGTTAAACGCTGTGTAGAATGCTTCCTACAGAGTGTTTGTTTAGAAAGATCGATTAGGATGTACAGTTAGTCGTGTTCAACTTCCGCCGTCCGCCGCAAATAATCCGCCCGGCGATTTATTTAGAACGGAATAATTACTGTCATAGCGGTGCACAAGTATGCGCGAAGGGAGCTATAAGAGCATCGGGCCAGAAGAGAGGGCTGACGTATCAGAAACCGCTTTTATTTGTGGCATATAAGGTTCCCGATGCTTGAGTCTTAGTTTGAGCGCATGTGCGGAAGTGGGCGGAGGTACTGCGGCCGAACTTGCCGCGTCACCGTTGTCTGACGCCCACACGGTTAAGTATCTGGGACTGCCTCCACTTCGACCCACTTCGTTAGGTAGTCGGTTGCGACACTTGCGTACTTGCTACCAGCGTCAGACCTTAGGAACAGCCATGAGGGATGAATTCCAACAATCTTAAACGGAATGCCTAAGGGAGGTAGGTATCTGCTGGAGTTGGATCTGGCCTGGGTGCGGTAGTGCTTTCCGCAGATGGCATGTCGTGCCTGGCGCAATGTACGGTCAAACGTTCATTCTGAGTTGGGTTCATCACAATCTCATTGCGGCTTTGTGTCCGATGTTTCACAAGATGGCTCGTAGTCTGAAGATTAATATACACCACAAGAATATTGTACCTAATTTTAAAAGAGACAACGAGGAGTCGCTGTTCAGAAGGATGTGTTCGATGGCACAGCAGACCATCCCGAAGCTGGTAGGGCGCTCGCAAGTGACCCAAGCGACGTTTGTGAAGTCTCATCCTGCTATTTACTTTGGAAATGAGCAAATGGATTATGTCAAACATTCCACGTTCACCCGCTTCAACCAACCAAAGATCACAAAGCGCGAGTACCGGGGAAACTGTGGTGACTTCAATGGGTTCCGTGAGAACAACATTTGCACCTTAGTGCTTCTTTCCACATCTGTGAACCATAAAAAAGTAGATCTTTTATAGTGTTATTGTCTACTTCGTAAATTTTAACGCAAGATTGGCCTTTGACTGGACAAACGCAGGGCTGAGTTATCTAAATAAATTACTCCAAATTACGTTCCCTAGATGTATGGACGGAACGTTTTTACTGTCGGAACAACAGCAAGACCCACATGTTCTAAGGAGTTACGTCGACGTTCTGGCTTGCTAAGTTTGGGGTTCGCGCACGTGACCACGTGTTATATTCTTTCCCCTTTCTTGTGAAAATAAAACACAGCGCCTATTTTTTGTACCGTTGACGTCAGTGTGAATGAATATCAGAGCTTCCTCTGAAAAATTTTTCAGAGTTCGTGGCTCAAGCTCTGCTTTTTTGATGCCTGCAAAGGAACTTTGTTTCTTTGCGAAACACCCCCACGTAATGTCGTTTTTAGGAAGCTCAGTGGAGCGGCTCTAACAAGGTTTCCGGGAATAAACGTAAGGAAAAAGCAAAGCTTAAGATGCTTTTTTAGCTGCTTCGTGGAGTGGCCTCTGGAATATTGGCTAATGCTCTAAACTTTATTGGATTCGAGCGAATACTTTCTTGCTAACAGAGGCCCCATGCAAATTACTTTGCCGCAGCTGAAGAAGCATTTTGATGAATTCAGTTCATCTGAGCATTGGTTAGGGCACTCAGCCCCGAAAGCAGGTGGTGCCGCGGTGTTCTCAAAGAAATGTATGCGCACACGATGATTTCGTTAAAATAACCCAACGACATCATCCACATGAAATATTGGAGCACTCTGTCCATGAGGCATTGGGAGCTGAAGACACATCGTACGGTAATAAAGAAAGGCGTTAAAACTGAAGTAATTCGTCAGTCTTGAGAAAGGTAGTTTTTTTTTTAATCTTTCCGGTTCAGTCTACTTGTCATTATCCAGTCTTCAGACCCAGATTCCAGTATAGCAATGTAACTGGCTCTTTGAAGGCGATCAAAAGGTTAGTCATGTCAAGGCAAGATACATATTTCTAAATTTGTCATGTCCTTTTGTTTATGGTAATCTATAGAAAATCATCTAGAGCCGGGTCTTGTTTACAAAAACCACTGGTGATGACGGTGACTCTAGTGCTAACCAAATACTATGGAAGCTTGCAAAAGTCTCCCCTCGAAACATGTCGTTTACCTTGTTGTTTATCTCCTTATGCTCTGTCATTAAAACTCGTCGTGGATTCTAATGCACCAGAGCACGATCAGCAGTATTGATGACGTGGCTCACACGTGGTGTGCACCCTTGTTATTCTGGTGTCATAATAATTGGGAACGTGACAGAACAGCACACGACAAAACAGCACGCGACAAAACAGCACGGTCAAAACAGCACGCGTCAAAAGAGCACAGCGTCAAAACAGCACGGCGACAAAACAGCACGCTTCAAAATAGCACGCGACAAAACAGCACGGCGTCAAAACGGCACAGCGACAGAAGAGCACGTGCCAAAACAGCACGGCGTCAAAATAGCACAGCGACGAAACAGCACGCATGTAAAAAGGCTGTTGTAGGTAGTGTTTTATGAAAACAAAACAGAGCGTAAAGAAAACGGGTTAGACGTTGCGTGGCATTATTTAACAGCTAGTGGAGAAACAATAAAAAAATGTACGCTGGCGGCGACGGGATCGCACTCAAGTCAGTGTCCCGAGTGCTGCTGCTGTGTGATTACTAAAGACAAATAAAGTTAGCACTACTTAACTACGCTAAACTCTGCATAGACTGGGTAGTTAGTGTTGGCTGCGTTGTCTGGTTCTTTCACTAAGTATCAGAGAAAGAGGAAAAGTTATTCGGAAAAATATATCTATAAGTTCAAGTTATGAACTGCCTGGTTTGTGGCGGTCCGGTGAGGTTCCGTAGTACTCGCTGTTTTGTAAATACCACCTAAGCGTAAAATGTCTCCTCCCCCCCCCCCCCCAAAAAAAAAAAAAAAAGAAAAAAAATCGGCAGATGCGCCGATTACAGATGCATTGATAGAACCGGTAAGATAAGGTGACTTTAATGTGGAGCGTATTCAAGGTGTACCATGGGCACCGATTCTGCGGGGTTCATTCGCCCTGGATAAAATCTCCTGGAAACACGCGGCTAGAAGGCGAGAAGTTGTACGTTTTGAGTTAAATTCACAGATTATTGCCGACGAAGGCCTTGATCGAGTAGAAACCGGTGAAGCAGTAACATGCCGTAGCCTCAATGCTGTGGCCTTACACTGCAGCATGGGCTGAACGCAGCGTTGCCGCACACGCCTTCTGTTTTTTTTTTTAACAACTAACGAAAGCACATTGCAGTGCGATTGAATTATTTATTGTAGACGATATCACCAGCAAACTTGCGCGCCAAAATGAGCAAAACTGCTCAAAAATTTGCGGTGGCTTAGCTCGGCTATGACAGGATATACGTAGCGTGAGCTTATGCGTACAAAATGAGAGGCGCTATCAAGCGGCTCCGGTGCAGCGTCAGACTTGGCTACTGAGCAACGGTGGCGCACAGCCGGGCACGCGGTGGCGCCAGTGTGTCTGCCGCGGCTATGACGTCACTCCTCTGGAATGCGCAGACCCACGAGGCGGGCGCGGCGGCGGCGGCTCCGGCGCGCCAGCTGTGCGCCGTGTGACGTCACTGCTCCTCGCGCATGCGCAGCACGGAGCACGGCTCATTATGCGAACCACGCGAAACTGCTGAACCTCGGCCTGTGTACGCCACAAAAAGCCAGAATACGGACCAGCGGGGGCTTCGGTACTTCCCAGGGAATTGTCATGCGCGCATCGAGTATACTCCCCACTCCGAACTTGCTTCCAAAAGAACAGATTCGAAAAATTGGCCGTCGACGGGTTGGCTTTCGACGAATTGGCCTAGAACCTCAATTCCTTTACAATGCCTTATTTAAAAAAATGTATTTTTTTTTTTTTTAACTTTAAACGCTATATTTAGGGTTCAGCGTTTTCGGGTTAAACCGAATATAACCGGTAAAAGTACGCCGAATTCATTTTTCCACAATTGGTCTTAACGGAAAAAGTTCAGTATTTTCGAGGGCGTTTGGAGTGGTGTGTGTGTATGGCCGGGGGGGGGGGGGGGGGGGGGGAGTTGTGACTCGGAACTACGGTTTCGAGTTTTCGGATAAATTCGGAAAACACCCGCCGGTAAAAGTTTCGTCTATTCCGATTTATCTGATAAACTCTGAATTTCGATGTGCCAATCTCCGCCCCCCCCCCCTCCCCGCCCACAAACACACCCACAAATATATTTTATAATTAATAATTTAATCAGCGCGTAGAGTAAATATCCCGAGAAAATGCCACCACACATATCTGTCGAATTTTGGTCTAGACAACAGGTCACTGTATTATCGGGTCAAGACAAAAGTCACTGTTTATGTTTCCGGTTTCGGCCATACTATTTGTGCCTGAGGGGAAGGAGAGGTTGTGTTTTTGTAACCGCGAAAGCTATGGACCATAGATATTACATAAAGTGGAAAAAAGGACACTTGAAACTTCTTTATTACATCCTTTTCCACTCTATCTTTTGCAGCCGCGCGGTAGGTTGATGGAATAGCATGGAATGAATACAGGCTTCCCAGCGACTACCTCCAGTCGGTTATTCATTTTAAGGTATTCACGTTTATCGAAATAACACTTGTGTGCCACTTTTGTTCTAGGACAAATTAGTATTGTCAGTAGTAATGGCACCAACGCCAAATCCAACTGATGAAAATATCAATTGATACAATCGCGTTTTCTTTTTGCCCAGAGTATGTTTACATTTTGATATTATTTGTTTATTATTAATAAGAAACACTGCGAATTCAAGCTCCAAATTTCGGAGAATTCGGACTCAAACAAAAATAAACTCCGATAAACTTCGCATTTTCGGCGAAAAATGAACTCAGAAAAACACCCTCCGCACTTGACGAAAAAACTCCGAAAACACGGAACCCCACTCATTACTGACCATATGACTACTTCCTTTCGCAGTTTTCAGCTTGTCTGCGAGATCGGTTAAGTTTTCAACATAAGCTCCGGGGGCGCTGGCGTCTTCAGGACGAAATCTGGGTTTTTCAACTGATAGAGATTTGTGCCGAATTCTTTGTTAAAAGAAGAGAGTTTAATTGTGAAATCAAACAACGGAAATCAAGAGCGTCCGTAAATGCCGCGCATTGTGTAACACCCCTAGCTTCCGTCTACTAGAGGAGGGCATAAATACGAGTGTTTTATTGTCATTTCTGCCGTCGGCGCGAATTTATCACCTCTGGCAGTCGTGAAAATGGGAAAAAAATGCACCGAGCACAATGCTTGCTAATTTCTCCATCTTGATATTTGCTTCTCCGACCGAAGTGGTACTGAAGCTCATGCTCGTCCTGTGTACAAATACGAGCACACGACGATACTATCAAATTACGATAAGACCCCAGTACGTCTTACAGAAGAGGTCGCGTCAGCTGCCAAAGACGGCAACAAATAAGTTCAGTACCTGGCACTCAATATACATTTTACACAAACGCTTTTAATTACTGCATTTTCGTTAGTATACTGGTTTTAGTCAGTAAACCTAATATAACTGAAAAGTGTTTGAGTCTACAAATATTCACCGTAATAAACCAAAAAATTTTGTTTGTAATAAAAAGCGAAAAAAAGTGCGCGGAATTTCAAATAATACAAACCGAAAACGCCGAACCCTATACTTTTTGTTGCTGTGCTGTTTTGACGTCGTGCTGTTTTGACGCCGTGCTGTTTTGGCACGTGCTCTTCTGTCGCTGTGCCGTTTTGACGCTGTGCTGTTTTTTCGCGTGCTATTTTGACGCGTGCTGTTTTGTCGCCGTGCTGTTTTGACGATGTGCTGTTTTGACGCGTGCTGTTTTGACCGTGCTGTTTTGTCGCGTGCTGTTATGTCGTGTGCTGTTCTGTCAAAACTCCATGAGCAGACTTTGTAGTTGTGGTTTTTGTTCTTTCCTTAGGGTGTGTCTAAACTTAAATTATGACCCCTGAAGATTGAGACCTTGTCGAAGGTAATTTCCCGAAAAAGACAACGTTGGGGGTTCAGAAAATAATGGCGGCTGTCGCATTCGGGAGGGCTAAAGTCTCTGGTTCAAAGTCTTCGCTATATCATGACCAGGTCACCACTCGCCAGGTTTGAAACTGGAAGTATTAGACAGCCTTTTTCGCAGAAAACAAGGCAACATGGTACAGCGAATTCCATAACGGGACGATATTGTAGCAGTTAATAAAATATGATGTGTTTTTGGCGCTGTCGAAATTGAAATTTTTGCTGAAGCCCAAACTGCGAGGAGCCTAGGTACAATAGTGTTTGATGGTGCGAAAATGCAAGATAGCCATGGTTTGCGATTGACCATTTGTACCAGTAGAGGGGAGCAAAATAGGGTGGCAGTTTTGATGTTCAAGTAATTTTGGGCCGGATCTTTCACGATCAGGTTTTTCAGGCTTGACCACGCTAAGCCACATTTAGCCATCATGCCCCCAAACTTCGACGAAATTGCGTGTTTATTTTCCTCGCCATGTTCCTGAAGCAAATCTGTTGCAGGCCTACCAGACAGATTGGCAATATTCAACGTCAGCAGGGCTGTCAAATAATGTTCACCTCTTCAAAACGAGACCGAAATTTGAAATTTCGAACGGCAGTCGCGGACAAATCTTACAAGTCATTGCAACTTGCGCAAAATTATGACGGGAAGGTTAGGTTTTTGCCCTTTGATTTAAAAAAAAAACAACAAGTAGTTCGTCTTTTTCACAATGTACCAGAAGTGTGTTGGGCGAGCACACTTCGATGATTGTAGAAATGCAAAAGCAATGTGACTTATTGCTGCTCTTGATTATACGATAGCAATCACATGTTGCCCGAATTCCCGAAGATGAGCGAAAAGGCAACGTGCTATTGGGGTGCGCAGAGACGTGCGCAGAGGCGGGATAGGATGCACTGCATAAGATTAAACTCTGGCACTTTCTCTTTCACTGGGCACTTTGGGCGATGGTACAGGTTGGGACTTTATGGGGCCAAGCGTTTTGTTCATGATCGAGGAAAGTGATCAAAGTTTTGGCACGTAAAGCAACCACGTTCACTGGGATGAACCGCGGAATTTTGTAGAGACATATCTGGATACAGGATGCGAAATTTATATACCATGTCGCATTTTTGTTGGCTATTTTAACACTGGGTGCACGACACAGTACTGTGCAAGTCGTGCTGAAAAAGGAAAGCCGAAATAAAAAGGCTAAATTTCGCTGTCCTTGATTGTGTCGATTCAAGCATCATTGCAATCTCCTCCATGATGATCTTTACATCGGACGATTGATTCTAGCCTCCATTCGTTGGACTGCGTAAGGTAGCTCTTGGAGCGTTTTTGGTCTTTGACGATGGTGCTTCAAAGCAGTTAGGCAAAATTGCTTCAGAAGTTCATTACCAATGCGGGCATTTAAAGCTTCTACTTGGAGCCGATATAAGAAAAAGGCTCGGAGCAGACATGTTCTGCAAACAAACGCAGCGTTGCAGCGCAGTTGGGTAAACATAACACGAGTTTTCCGTGCTGTGTCCAGCCCATAAAAGTAAGAAACTTTTTGAAATTAGATGAAGAATGCTTGCCAACACGACTGCAGGTCGAATTACAGCTGAGTCGCAATTTTTGGAGTAAAAGTAAACTTTCCCGGACCAACCATAGGGTTTCTTGAAAATAACGTGCCGTTGGTGACTTGAAGGATCTTCTCGTTGCTCAACATGGAGGTGTTTCTCAGCGTGTCGTACCCTAGATTCTATAAACAAAAGACTGCGATTCACGCGTTACCAGACATCGGAAAGCTGACATTCGACCAGAGTTTTTAGCAGAGACAGACGGCTTTGGACTAAATTGGTGACGGTTCCAAGCAGGTTAGGGGGCTCGATGGTGTTGCATTCAGCGGGGAGATTGCATAACCGTTCCGTGGTTTGAGTCGAAACAGAAGTGGATAAGATATCACTTGGCTCCGATCGGTTTGTCATTTGGTTACCCCACCGCTGATACCAAATTTTGCGGATGTCTCAGTTCACGAGAACAAGGGCACACAAAGCACAGTCCCCAGTTCAACAATATCGTCTTCCTTTACTAATTGTTTTCTAGTACTTGTTTGTTAATATATTATAAAGTCCAAGTAATTTCTACATAGTGTAGAAAAATCAGGTAGCTGAATTAATTAAGAAGGGACTTAGAGATATTCTATAATTTTGTGTTCCACTTCCGCATGTGCTGTTTTATAGTTTTGTACCATTTGATGTTGTTACAGATTTTTGCTTTGTTTTAGTTCACATAATTTACATCGATATTGAGTGCTTTTCTTGCTCGTTAATTATAGTGTTGTATTCATTGAACATCCGACCTCGTCCCTCGTACCGTATTTGAATGACTGCACTGGGTAGTTTCACGAAGACCGTAGACTTCCTGGACACAGGGAGGACGCTCCGGCGGTTTGCATTTTTTTGGGGCTTCTCCGTCACCTTCTGTATGTAGAATCCAGAATGTGCACTCTGAAGAAGAAAAAAAAGCGACAATGTTAAACAAATGCTAATCGTTTTTTCATATTTTTTAAATGCGCTTAGAGCTCCACAGGCAAGCAAATTCACGAATAGGGCTAACACATTCGAAATATGGCGTACTTGTCTGACGGAAGCTATTGTAGGTATTGTACCATATGCACTCAAAAGCAAGTGGTGAGCACATTGTCGTGGATGGAAACGGCTCGATGAGCGTAAATTGAAAATGAATGTTTAATCAGCGAATTTGTGTCAGAAACAAAAGAAAGAATGAGCGTCCAAACAGCTGCAGCGAGCGTCGCAGCGTCGGCGCGACAGTTGGCTTGAGCGAGGCTGCGAGACTGACTGAATCGGCAAGGCCATGGTCGGCTCCCTATGTACTACACTCGGTATCTCGAATATTTGATTTTGAAAGCTCGGGAGTGAGCTAGGGCGAGACTGACTCGGCAAGGTCATATTGGTTTCTTTATCTTTCACACTCGGGATAAGAGTAAATTTGGATCTTCTGGAAGTACGAAGAAACGTCCCTTCTCGGTCGTGGACGCGGCAATATGAATCTTAAAACAATGCGTTTCCATAATTTCTGGATTGCTAGTTATCATCTGCTAGAGGACGAACAAACAGAATTCGAATCTAAATTTGGTAGGGTAGAGTGTGGTAAAATGGGACAGTCAATATATTTCTCCAGTGAATAGTTGCAAAAAGGTTAACTCCTATATTCATGACGCCGTGGTTGTGGTATTTTCAACTGTAATGGCGTCCTGCTTAGCGTGGTGTACACGATCTGAGTAAGTTGTTGCCACTTCGGCACTCAAATGTAAGTAGCACATATTCTTTTTTCTTGATTTCTGAATCAAAATGGTTTGACCAACGGTAGTAGTAAGCTAACCTTGAAAATATGTGTTAGTAGGTTGCTTTTAACCACCGCTATTTAAGCTTAAGGTCTCACTTGTTGCCACAATTGGCAACTTACCGTGTGTAAGGCAGTTTGGGAGGAATGGGACACTGAGATAGTGAAAGGGAAGGGACAGTGTCTCAGTTCTCTTTTTATAAAGATTGGTGATCTGACTGGTGAACTCGTAATAATGCTGGTTCTTCTAATTTTACTTCATATTAAATTTGAGCTCCAATTATTTGGTTTCTTTAAAACGTTACCGCATTCTTAATCCCCGGTTCAAAACCACAGACAATCGGAGGAAAAAAAAAAAAAAACGACTGCGACCGGGCTTCATGCCTGATGAAGCCCCGTTTGCTTATAACATTCACTAGTGAAATTTTTAGCGCAACCTTGCATGTGCCCCATTTCTCCTTGGGGGAAGGGTGGAATAAAACACATTTTCGCTCTTGCATTTTTTTACATTTATGAATTAGGAAAGTGTTATGACAAAGTGCTTTTCAACCGATGTGAAGGATCTTTTACCTTGCATTTAGGACCATTAAACTTGTTTTTATGTGACTGCTAAAGACTACACAAAACTTATTGTGTAAAAACTGTCCAATTCCTCCTCACTCTCCCCCTAAATATGCATGGTTCTCATATTGTTGAGTTTACAGTAGAGGATATTTATTACTACTATGTCTACGAGTGACACTATATTTGTTTAATATGCGTCGTTTCAGTTTGGTTTCCAGTGATATGAAAAGTTGTAAGCAGCTCTCTTAACGCCGTTTTGGAGGCCCTAACGAAGCATGACTAAATGACAACAGTTGTAGTAGGCATGAAACAAGAGCATTATGTTTCTGACATTGCAGTTTGTTTAACGACAGTTTTTCTATTATCTAGGAATGAAAGGAACGAAATCACATGTAATACGCAGAAGAAAGGCTTGAGAAAATATTAAAATATTAATTTCAGGCGCAAAAAAAAAGAGGCAGAACTTTACGCCAATAAATGCATACAGACAGATGTTCGTACCTTTCCTAGTTGACGTCTTTAGGATATAACAAGAAGTATAATCTGTGTTAATGACCAAATATTCAACTGCTCTCCCTGTTAGATCTGAAAGATGAAACCAAGTGACATCTCTAGGTCATGTGGCACACCTCAGAACGCGCTTTTTGTCACGAGCAATAAAGAGTTGGTATCACGAAAATGAACAAAACTAATCACTAATTGCAATTTAAAAAAGTTAAAGCCGTTTACAACTCCCTGTAATGCCGAATTAGAGCGCAGCTCTTGAGGAGGAAGAGAAAAGGGTACTGAGGGTCACATGTTCTCGGGGGGGGGGGGGGTGCAGGACACGTGACCCCCCAAGTTACGTCACCCCCTCCCCGAGGTCACGTGGGGGGTCACGTGACCTGGGGGGTCACGTGACCTTGGGGCGCCACGTGACCTCGAGGGGGGTCACGTGACACCCAGGTCACCTGACCCCCCCAGAGAAACTTTTCCGCTAGATCGAAATTTTCCGCTAGATTTAGCGGGGAATTTTTTCCGCTAGATTTAGCGGGGAAACTTTTCCGCTAGATTTAGCGAGAAAATTTTTCCGCTAGATTTAGCGGGGAAATTTTTCCACTAGATTTAGCGGGGAAATTTTTCGCTAGATTTAGCGGGGAAAATTGTCCGCTAGATTTAGCGGGTAAATTCTTCCTCTAAATCTAGCGGGGAAATTTTTCGGCTAAATTTAACGGAGAAATTTTCCCGCTAGATTTAGCGTGGAAATTTTTCCGCTGGATTTAGCGGGAAAATATTTCCGCTAGATTTAACGGGGAAAATTTTCGCTAAATTTAGTGGAGAAATGTTTCCGCTAGATTTAACGGGGAAATTGTTCCGCTAAGTTTCGCTGTTTTATGGACGCGGCTTTATGGCCAGTCGCTGTTTTATGGGCTTGTCCACAAACGAAGGGTAAACTTCACTGAGGATTGGGGCTAAACTGCACCCTATGCAGACTCCTTTCTTTTGTGTGAAGGTCTTCCTCTCATATTCTACCAGGGTGGATTGAAGGTAAATGGCTATTAATTCTACGAAACGTGCCACTGACACACCGGATGAGTTCTGGAAATCAGAAATCCCAAGCTCGTAAATAACATGAGAAACGTAGTCTAGGAGTACTTTTAGGTCTAATATATAGTACATGTCTTCTATGTCAAGCGAAAACATGGCAGTTGGCGTGGAAGAGGAATGTAAAGGACTGATGCGTGAAATCAATGCCATGGACCTGGAACCCCTGAACGGTTGCTGAAGGCGAACTTCAGAAAGGTGCTTCTGCAAATAGAGGCCAACTGTTTTTTGGCAACAGCCCCTTTCGGAGGTGATACTTCTCAACGGAATTCCATCTTAGTGAGTCTTTGCAGAAAAGAAAACGGATGAGTACTGATTTGCAGGACGACCGATAGCTTTCTTCAGGTTTGGGAGGTTGAGCCCTGCCGGCGCTGCGGCCGCTTCTGCTCCTCTCGGCGACGAGAATGCTTTCGCAATCACAACTCATAAGAGGTGCTTAGATGTCCTCGGAGTGTTTTCTGAAGTTTATGGATGAAGAAGTACCCGGGCAAAGTAACGTGAAACCAGAGTAACTTGTAAGCTGCAACTTACTCAGTAACTTAAGTTGTAACGTCGCCAGTAAAGTAATCAGCTACATTTGTAAGGAAAAATTATTAATGGTAACACATTACATTTTAAATTGAGTAATTTGTAATATCAACACATCTAATTATTCATGTATTGTACACAAGGTTTGGGACTCTGTAGTATTCGATTGGATTTTAAAATTATTTTGAAGCGATGTTCGTACACCCCTGCACTCGGTTTCACCTCAAGATGGACCGCAGCGGACGCTACGGGTCACGGCAGCTAAGCCAGCTTCGTGAATCTTTCACGTGCTTACGCGCCCCGCGTGTCACTGCTTGCCTCCTGAAGATCGCCTGGCACTCGCATGGCCATAGATTGGTTTTGGATTACGATCAACCGCAGCGTGTGCTGCGGCTTATTATAAAACAAAATAAAGCATAGTATTTTTTTCAGCCTCACGTGACGCACTTACATAAACGGAACTACTTGGAACCACTGTCACTACTGCTTCTTTCTTGCTTCTGATTGTACAGTTATCGTCACGGGCATCGTGTCGTGCAAAGCAAACGTAGCGGAATGATTGACGAGAGATACCAGTGTGCCGTAGCGGACAGGCGTACAGACGTGCAATACGCGTAATGCGGATGGGCATGCAGCAAGGCAACCCTACCACATGGCGCCCAACGTGGGGCCATGTGGTAGGGTTGCCTCGCTGCATGCCCATCTCGACGACCGCTACCTGGAGTGTGCCATAGCGCTGAAACAGTGCCGCCGGCCAGACCTTCTGCGACGACCCCCTCGCAGCGACGACCACGACGACACTGTCATTGATATGCCTGACGCTTAGGGGGGGGGGGGGGGGGGGGGGGATGTGGGACCGAGGGTCGGCCACCACGACCAGAGGCCGTTGCTGACCACCCAGGGTGGACAACGTCCGGGCCGCGCAACAGCGCACGAAGGACAGGCGCGAGAGGATATAAAAGAGGGGACACTCCCACAGAAGGGGGAGACGTATCGAAGGCACGGAGACGCGTAGTTCGAATGCCTGGCATTGTTATACTTCGCTACTAACAACCTTTTGCTGTTACTTTAATAAATGTAGTTTCTTGTTTTGGAAACCCCGGCTTCGTGTTGTTCCTCCCGGAGGGGCATGCAGCAAGGCAACCCTACAACTCTTACTTGGGTTGAATGGCTCCTCAAAACGAAATTCCAGAACAGGGAGGTTCTTTTTAGATCTCTTTGCCGTGACGTTCAGTAGCTCGCTCTGGCTGGAAAGGTTCACACACATTAATCGCACAATTTCTTTCTGTGAAGATATGCAGTGAGCATAACGTAACAGTATCGTACATTCTTTGCAGTCAAGTGATCTGCACTCCAATGCTATACACTTTGGAACGGGTATTTTTAATGATTAAATGAACACATACCTGCTATACATATTTTGATTTATTAATAACGTCATTATTCATGATCGACATCCGGAAGTGAGTGTAAGGTCAAAATTAATGAATTAGCTATCCTATATTCCGGACTATAGCTCACGGAGTATACATATTTAAAATTTGAAATTTTACGCAGTGTGGACTATCTACAGATGCGGCTTATAGAAGAAGTATTTTTTTCTAGGTCGTTAGTTGAAACACTGACGTGATGGATTCTGTGAATATCAGTGTATGTTAATGATGATTAATGTATGAGACAAACATCTTTGTGAGCTAAAAGGGAGGGCTTTTGACAAGATGTGCTGTATATGAGGATGTTTATATGTGCCGACTAGGCACGAAATGCAAATTATGCCTCGTGTGCACATTTTGCACTAGGTGCGCAAGCTACATAAAAGAGCTTTATTTTTCTAATTTAAAATTTGCTTATGCAGACTATACTCGGGATTGGCACAGTAATACAGTAATTTGAATTTTCTCATTAATATTTGGCTTTGTTTTAGATGGCATATATTAATTAGTTATTTGCAGCCCATAGTCCGCTTGGCTAGAGGAATTGATTATTTTCTAAAAACAAACATTCTGCTTCACAATATTCCGTAGAGACTGTCGGCCGTGACAACACTGCAATACCACCCCCCCCCCCAAAAAGAAAAAAAAAAAACACAAAGCGCGTCGGGGGTTTTGCTTCTAAAGAAGCATCAAAGTATGACACACAGTCACCAAATTTGCGTCCTCACAATAATGCAGTGGGGCTTACCTTACATTATAACTGTCCTTGTAATACAAGAGCAACAATGCGCTTTTTGAATCTTCTTCAACGCTAATGATCTCCATTTCCATGCACGAAGTGTGAAACCCAATTAGCGGAGGTGGCGTGTTGGATGTTCGTTTTTCCAGAAACATTTTTTTCTCATAGAGAGATGCCAACATCTAGTGGTTAAATAAATATTCATTATGCAGCTTATATTCTTCGAGAACTTCATATGCTAGAAACACTTTCAGGTTGTTATTTATGTTCAGGCAACGAATGAGGTACTTCTAAGCGCTTAAGTACACGACTTTGGCTGGGGTGTAAGTCAATCGATGTGTCAATCGATGAGTCAATCGATGAGTCAATCGATGGAGTGGTTTAAAATAATATGGAAGGAGATACGGATTTAAGGCTATAATGAGTTTAGCAGAAGACTACAATACTTTTAAAGCAATACGATCTGGCCTTTTACACATGCCTAGATTTTAGGGAACTTATTATAAGTCGTATCAAACTAAGATCGCACCTACTACCAAAGATCAATATTTTATTTTGCTACCCAAAATCTCAATTACAGTATCTATTAAACGATAAAGCTGCTTATAAGTGTGTGCACTTTAAAATAAGTTAGTGTTCAATAACCCTATGAATCGGACTGAGTTTAATTGTAAATGATGTAAGCTAACGGTTTTAAGGCACTTTAGACGGCCCGCAAAAACGGGTTTCTCAACGTGCCGCGCTGCAATTTACTACAGAAATGCGAGCAGGTGCTGTAAGTTTACAGTGAACAAATCAAGGAATAAACTTACCTCAATAAAAAAAAAAAAAAAAAAAAAAAAAAAAAAACATATATGGCCAATCAACGCCGCAACTTCCCAGACGATGCACGCGTAGAGAGAAGTACTGCTAAAAGATGGCGTTCGCCGCGTCGAGGGGGCGCCGACCGATTCGGGGGATAGCAGACGATTCCGCAAAAGAACCTGAGTTTGCCCGTGCTCCCTCGACGCCACGTCCGCCATCTCGCCATCTGCTGGCGGCACTTCTGACTACGCGTGCGTCGCCTGAAAAGTGGCGGCGTAAATTGCCCATAACAGGTTTCTGTTTTTTTTTTTTTTTTGAGCAAGGCACTTTTACTTCTTGATTTTTTCACTGTAAACTTCCACCATCAGCTTGAACCTCTGCAGTAACTCGCAGTAGGATATGCTGAGAAATCGAGTTTTGCCCGCCGTCTAAAGTACATTAAAAGCATTAGTTTACATGTTCCACTCTCCAGGGTTAAAACATCGTCAGTCAGCTCGCCTGGTTCCTTGCATTAACTTCATTAATTTACATGCTGTAGTTTCACATTTAAAGACCTATATCAGTTGAAATGCACGTGTTATTCAAACATAATAAGATTTGCATGACAATAAACGTACATCTCTAGAAGCCATGTATGAGGTTCACATTTACCCAATTGCGTACAATTCTAGTTGATACGATTGAGCAACGTAGGGTGAAAAATGCTTTAGCAGAGTAAAATCTGAGGTGAGACATACTTGCGCAGGATATTATCATACTAATCCATAAACGTAGAGGGGCTGGGGCTGCACAAGTATTAAGGAGGATCCCGAAAACGGGTCATTAGAAATATAAAACACACAATAGGAGGACATATTTTATAAACCTTTTGAATGTGATATTGGTACAGATCCACGAATGAAACATACAAATTGTCATGTCAGACGTTTGGAGTGTGGGAAGATTACCTCACGCAACATACCATAAAAAGGTCTGGTTCGGGTTTCTGCTTAGTATCAGTACCACTGCGAGAATGTAGTAGTTTGAAGCCAGGGTCTGAGAAAACGATGTTTGCATTCAAAAGAAGGATCATTGTTAGGATAAATATCCACTTGAGCTGCATTTTTTTTCTCAGAGAGTCAAGCCAATTCTTATCTGATGACGTATAAGTTCCTCTCTATTTTTTTGTCACAAGTTCACTTAGAGGGCCTCAAAGAAACAATAATCTGCAACAGAAGGATGGAACTTTTAGTTAGTCTAATCTATGAAATGTACAGTCTGCTCAACTGTTAAATATAACGCGAAAGCGGTGGCAGGAGAGACTGCATGCGTCATCTACCGCCTCACTGGCAGCTTATGCCGCTGTTTTTTTCTGTAGTTACACTCCCAGCACCGAAACAATCACCAATGCGTGACTTGGCTATAAAAACAAAACATGTGTCTCTTCGATTTTGTTTTATGTTATTTAAAGAAAGTGGCCTTTATCAGAGAAACTGCATGAAAGTTCAGCGAGATATGGTAGCCCCGCATGATAAATGCCTAGGTGTTAATAAAGAGGGTGGCCAAAACAACAAAACAAGCAAGTAAAATTTAAAGCGTGGGTGGGTGATAAAGAAAGGAACGAGAATGTCATGCGATAATTGCATCGGGGAGGGGCGACAATCGCAAGAAGAGCCGCCTTATTCTTTGCCGTGTCATTGATTTAATCGCAAGACAGCGCTGATATCAGTTTCGGCCATCGCTCCTGTGTTATATTTAACAGTTGAGCACACTGTACGCATGCGGCCCTTTGCGACCAAAATAGTGCAACGCAGCAATACCAGCAAATATATATCGTCACGCTCAGCGTTACGCTCTTTCGCCCGCCTTATGTAATGCCCTTCAGGGCATTTAAGGGAAAATAAATGAAACGATATGAAAGGAAAGCCTCCATCTTAAACTTTCATGGCACACAGCACATAGAGACCTTGAACAGTCTTAGGCCCGCTTCAGACGGAGCAATTTCACCCAGCAACTTGACGTCGCAACACCTTCAACACCGGCCGCCCGCGTTCACACGCAGCAACCGAATTGCTCCGACTTGCCATCATCATCATTAAATTTGATTCTTCTTTTACTATTTAGACGCCCAGCTACGCGCTAAAAACGCGTAGCTGGGCGTCTTATATCTTTGAACGGCGTTGAGAATACTAACTCATTTTTCTAAAACTGTTTATTTCCGAAAATGATCCATTCCAAACCAGAACTAAGCCTCTAGCTGTCATCATAACCACCACAGGGCTGTCACGTGAAAATATCGCGTCTCTGATTGGCTGCAGCCGATTCAACCGCCTTCGAATTGCTCCGAGTAGCTCGCTTGTTCGAGCCGGACCCGATCCCAGCAGTTCGCGTCGATCTAGGGAAAGCTAGGGAACAACCCGCCAGAAACCTCAAAATTGCTGGAAAAGTTGCCCCGTCTGAAGCGGGCCTTAGATGGCATCTGTTTTGATTTAGACGACTCTACAAAATGGGAAATGTTATACAATTGTGAAAAGGCCACAAAATCTGCGGAATATACGTTGAAGTAAAAAAGGCTCCAGATATCAAGGCCTCTTCTTTCTTTTAACTTGAAACGTTCTTTGGCTCGTCTTAGGGGGGGGGGGGGGCAGCAGATTGGCCGGTAGAAAAGTCACGTGATCAACGCTGTTTGGCCGATTCCAGAGAGTATGGGAGGTTGTGCGAACTGCCAGGCTTTAAAACCCAACTAGCGCCAGTATCTTCATTCCAGGAACTGCTGTTAACCGTTCCGCAGCGATACCGGAAGGGTTCAAGTGTAACACAATTGCCCAGCAGGAAATTTAGCGGTGAAAATTTCTCGCTAGATCTAGCAGGTAAATTTCTGCGCTAAATTTACCGGGAAATTTTCCCGCTAAAGTTAGCGGGAAAATTGCTAACTCTAAATTGTACGTCTTTTTACGACGCAATCTGTCGCGCGCTCGGAAAACCTCGCTATGTTGGCCATGAACGTCTCTAGAAAGTTGTGACAGCCCGGAGGTAAGCCGGTTAGTTTGACATGCTTCCTTCAGCTGGTATCCAAGGAAGCGTTTCTAGAAAGAATATAAAACATTTTGTAAAGTGGCGTTCCCCATATTTTTAAAATTCTTCAATGCAGTATTCCAGGAATGATTAAAAAACAACAACAAGAAGGCACCATTTTTTAAAAATCTGTATAGTTAAATTTTAACGCTAAGACCTGAAATATGTTGTAAGAGAATACATATATGAATAAAGGGTACTGCTGGAATACTCCGTTTCAGCCTACGGTGGTCCGGAGCGGAGGAGCAATCGGAGCCAATCTAATGCCGTGCGAGTGTCACGTGACAGTTGAGAGAGGCGCAGGCCAGGCGCGGGGCGCTTAGTCACGTGCTGCGTCCACAGTGCTGGATTGGCTAGTATGGCCCAGCATCCACTACTGTCCACTTTAAGGCGGAAAGGAGTATTGTTGAGTGAAGACATGTAAAGATCGCATATACGCCTATTTTTATGCAGCTGTAACACTTAATGATGCAGTAATAGAGATACTTTCTTACGTACATTAGGCTCCTAGTAGGTTGACCAAATGGGCCCTAACACGGCGAAAACGCCAGACCCAATTTTGAGGCAGTCTAACAACTCGCTGTCTAAACCTAAATACGACAAACTCTATATTTGATATTTGCGTTCGTGTTCCCTAATAAGCTTAGCAAGTAAAGTGTAAATTACTTTGGATTAATCTGCAAGCTTTATAACTTGTATTTCTGAAATGCCTTTTAATGTCGGCATTACACGAAAACACACACACACACGCACACGCACACATTTAATGGTTACTGGCATGAAACCACTTTGTGCTAAGATTTTTGTTTAGGTAGACCCTAACGTCATATTAGAATAGAGGTTTAGTGTCACTCAGATTACACTAGCTATATTTGCATAAACATAAACAAGCATGTCCAAATCTACACAAACTACTGTACTCACTTACCAATATGTATATATACCTAAGAGTGGTGTAAGAGGACTTAGATAAAACACACGCAACAAGAAATGAACAAGAAAAGGGATAAGAGCATCTGAAACTGACCTGTGGCGTTTATTTAGAAATGAGCATGACAGTTAACACACACAAGCGACCGAGTGTCTTTCGTGTTTTTCTCTCACAACTGACAATGATTCACCACACATTCCACCGCAATAGTAGTTATAATGAGGCACGTGAATTTGTGCGTGAAAAATTGTAAATCTAGAGTTTGGTTTCGTTTGCTGAGTCGCCCTTTGGACATGATTTGTTTATCCACATTAAAGGGGTACTCCACCGATTTTTGAGCTACCTCAACTAACTACATTTTCTGACTCCCCGGTTTTTAACCTTTCCGGTATGCTATTTAGCATCGCGAAATTCATAATAGGTATTGTGAAATCGGCAAATGAAAATGGTGCAAAAACCAATATTCAAATATTCGCGCACTTTTCAGTGCCGTGACGTCAGTGGCAGGCAGGCTTGCCAGTCGAGCAAGTAGTCTAAAAATAGAATATGCCAATCATTTGTTCCGTGCTGGAGCGCGGATACGGGAGCGAGCTTCCAAAGCACTCATTTGACACCAAGAAACTGCTTCAAATCCGTTGGGAACAACTTGTGTAGTCCAAAAAGTTAACCCCTGCCTTCCACAGACGTCACTTTGTTGTTGTTGCCAGTAGAGACTTTCAGTTTGAAAAAAACATGGTGAAGACCAAAACTGTAAATTCAATAACTTCGCGAAAAAAATATATCTTGACCTAGTATTTTGGATACTATTTTAGCAATGTTTGCTGGTTAGTTTAGCAAAATTTCAAGCAAATCGGAGACAATGAAAAAAACGGTGGAGTACCCCTTTAAGCATAGACAGAAGCTCAAAGGGCAAAAAAACAACACATTTTACTTTCCATTTACTTACCAAAACCACCCGGATGAACATTGGCGCATGATACTGACCGCCTTTTGTATTGATTTTACTGATTAAAACTAGACCGATGATTGAAGTTTCAAATACCTTGTGGAACAAAATACGATCTGGGATTTTTTAAAGTTTAGTTGCATGTTTTTATATCAAAGAGAGCCAGTCTTCCACGATTGGAGATATCTATGCGTTGGCGAATAGTCAGACGTCGTGAAGACATTTTGCGCTTGCCGAATATTAACGCGGCTTTTATTAGACTGAGCCCTGCTCTAATATTGTTCTGACCTTTTGAAACTCAGAAATGTTAAGGATGCATGAACGCGGATAAACTTTCGTGACCATGACCATCTTAGACCAAGTGTTTGATATTTCATACGTGACGAAAATTTACCACGGTCGATGCCTCTTTAACCTTCGCGATGACACAATTTATCATGAAGCAAAAATATTTTAAAATAACGTATGTTTGTTACTTTATTTTTTCGAGTCTCAGGGTTTAGATTATGATATTTTCTAATCAGCTCGTATCCATACTTTTGCTTCCTGCAGAAGACTCATTTATTGTTTCTCGCCTACTGGTTTCAAGGTCAGTGTTAACTAAAACCGAATAATTCAAAATGCCTATCTTATGTGGGTCTGTAAAATCAGTTTTAATAGGGCGAAACATGAGCGCTGTTTCCTAGGCTTCCCTAAGGCCCGCTTCGGGGAAACTTTTTCCCAGCGCCTTGATGTCGCTACAGCGGTAAGACGGTCCCCCAGCTTTCACACGCAGCAACCGCTGGAACTCAAAATGCTAGGTTTTGTCATCGTTACCATTAAAAATTTAAATTCTCTTGCCCTTTATGCAGACGTATAGTTACGGGTTAATTGCGTGTTTTTGCGTCTTTAATGACGTTGAAAATACTAACTGATCCCTCTGAAACCATTTGGCCACATTAACAATCCACTGCAAACCAGAACAATGTTAAACCCCTTCTTCAGTTATCATAAACACTACGGGTGGGTCAAGTGAAAATACTGCGTGGCTTCAGCTGCTTCAAATGTCTTCGAGTTGCTTGAGTTGTTTGCTCTTTTCGATCCGGACCCGACCCCAGAAATTTGTGTTGCAGCGCGGGGATCTATAGGGAACAATTCTTCAGTAATCTCGAGCTTGCTGGGAAACGCTGCA